GGCTTCAGGGGCTGGGCAGAAAAAGGGGAGAAATGTGGAGGTCGGGACACAGTGTTGGTTGGAGGGATGATGAATAAAAATGTTCTGAAATGTTATTATAAGGATGACTGGCCATGTGACAAACTGCACTTGGCAGTCTACCTGCTGTCTCCTGGAAGACATTTAGGTCACTGGGTTAGTGTTCAACAGGCTTCTCCAGGGAGGCAGCATTTTGGTTCTTAACCAGGGACCTAAGTTTATATTCTCTGTTACCAGCTTTTCTGCTTTCATAGGCAGGGTGAGAGCTCCTAAAAGTGTTCAAGTGCATTTTATTTTGCCTATCTTGCTCTAAATAGGATAAAAAAGCTTGTTGGAGACCCGACTGCATGTTACTGGCAGAGACCTGAGGGCTAAGTAAGTATCTGTGAGCTCCGTGTCGCAGGTGCTCTGCCCCTCTTTACGTGAGCTTCTTTGGTCTTCCTGGGCCATCCTGAAAGCCAGGTAGGGCCAGTCCTATCTTCTTTTTTTTTTTTTTTTTTCCCAGAGTTTGAATTCAGGGCCTTGGGCTTGCTAGGCAGGCTCTCTATCACTTGAACCTTTCCCCATATCCTCATTTTATAGCAGAGAAAATTAAGACTGTGGGAAAAGAATCTTAGCTGGGCTCACACTGGCATTTAAGAGGAGGCTGAGTGCTCAAGATTCTCCCTCTTTTCTTTGCTTTCAGTGTAGCTGTAGGAGCGCTGGGCCGGGAACTCTGGGCCTGCGCGTAGGAGGTGCGGGGTACACATCTGAATGAGTGGATGCTCACAGAATAGGAGACAGTTTGGTACTCCGCAGATAGTTGTGAGCTCTATTCTTTAGCTCACTGATAACTTGCTGTGACCTTCAGCAAAGTGTTTTAGCCGATTTCAGGCTATTTCCTCTCTGTAATATATATCTGATACATACCTGCCTGTCACATACTAGCAAAATCCTAACTTTGAGACCCAGCCTGTTGCTTCATGTTTTGTACGGTGTTAAGTGGTAAGTGTTTGGAGCACCTCCCGGGCTAGCCTGTCATGTGTTTTCAGCTGATTTGTTCATCGTTTCCATTGATTGACATCAGGGCTAAGGATGGCTTGAGAAAGCATCCTTCATTAGGGCCCCAGTAGGAGGGACAACCTGTGTCATGGCTTCTCCAAGGAGACCCTGGGAGAGGATTGTCTCCTGACATGCCGCCAGTGTCCTTCTCACATGGATAGGTAGTCCCATAGTCTCCAGTTCCTAAGGACACAGCAGTAAAACAAGTTCAGAAAAGGCCCTTGTCTCACAGACAACTTTTTATGTGTGTGTGACACTGGGGCTTGAACTCAGGGCCTACACCTTGAACAACCCCACCAGCCCTTTTTTGTGAAGGTTTTTGTTTTTTTTTAATTTTTCATTTATTCACATGTGCATACATTGTTTAGGCCATTCCTCCCCCCACCCCGTTCCCCACCCCCTCCCTCTCCCCCCTACTCTGTGAAGGGTTTTTTGAGATAGGGACTTGCAAACTATTTGCCTGGGTTGGCTTGAACCACAACCTCCTGATCTCTGCTCCTGAGTAGCTGGGATTACAGAGGTGAGTCACCAGCACCTGGCTCATACAGTTTTACATTAGCCTAGTGAGCTGGCTTTATTGTAAAGTAATGTTTGTGAGTCAGTAAGTCGAGATCCTGGGTGTTTCTGAGCAAAAGGTATAAAATGGCTATATGATTAAAATCTTTTAAATGGATAGTGATAAGAAATTTGCTTTTCTACAATTTTCACTGTTTTTATTTTACAGAATAGCTGAAGTCTTTGGGTTACAAGAAAATTACATCAAGATTGTCATAAATAAGAAACAACTTCAGCTAGGTATGTATGGCAGAGAATGCAGATCAATCTAAACTAGAAATGATGGCTTTACGTTTTTTCTTGCTTTTCCTGTGCTCAAAAGTTCCTAGCTTTGTTATAATCCAAGACCAATTATTTTAGAAGTTTAAGAAAACAAAGATGTAGAGTAGAAAACAACTTTCTAATAAGTACTCATTGCTTGTTCTGTGCAGGTGGGAAGAGAGAGATGCTCATTACCAGTCAGATAAATTGTTCTAGAATGGGGAGTTTGGCACCTCTAGACACCGAGCTGTACTGCAGTTAGGACGGCTCTTGGAAGCTGAAGCCATACGCCCCACATGGCCCCTTCAGCCATCTGAGCCCCTCCTATGAGAACTGTGCCCAGGCCAATGCCCACAGCTCAGCTGCTGGCAGGAGCCCCACCAACTACAGTTGGCTCCCTGCTGCTGAGCCAGGGTTGATAGCCCAGATGACAGCCACTACAGTTGGCATGACTGTGGCTCTCCTGTCAGGTACACACTGGGTCACGCTGTCCCTGGAGGCTCCAGTGGAGGCAGCAATACTGAGCCCTCCAGGCCTGACTTCACTTACTCGGAGCCCCAGGGAACCCAGTCAACACAGCAGCACTTTGGTGGCCCGCCCTTTTATGAGATAAAACAGTTTTTGGTGTGTGCCCAGAATCAGGGTGACATTAAGCTCTGAGAGTTTCAGTGAGATACTGAAACAGTGTAGCATTTCAAATGGATTAACCCAACCAAGAAGTTCAAGTTGCAGAGATGGAAATCGTCTCTGATGACCAGTTACATCAGTGTAAAGACGTACTCGAGAATGAAGCACAGAGCGAAAAGCTGTAAGTGAATCCTCTCGCTCTCAGTAGCTTCATTGCTTCAGAGTGGCCTTGGAAGCTGTCCTGACTCTAGAGTTCACTGAGTTGGTACAGCATTTGGGGCAGGGCAGGTGTTTTTGTGACTTTTTTTTTTTTGAGGTACTGGGGCTTGAACTCAGGGCCTACACCTTGAGTTACTACCAGCCCTTTTTGTGTCGGGTTTTCTTGAGATAGGGTCTCCCAAACTGTTTGCTTAAGCTGCCTTCAAACTGTGATCTTCCTGATCTCTGCTTCCTGAGTAGCTAGGATTACAGATGTGGCCTTCTTAAAGCTGCTGTGATTTTATTGTGTTAATTAGAATAAGATGATTTTCTTTAAAAAAATTTTTTTTTGAAGTTCTAGAATGCACATCTTACATGTGCTGAGGGGAGCTTCAGGGTTCATGGAAATTTTCCCCAAGTGAGTGAGGAGCAATGGAAGGCTGTAGGGAGTACAGGGCTGAGAAGGCCTCCATTTAGAGCCCCAGGATATGAGTCAGAGGAACTGAGTCAGAGGAACCGCCTAAGGATGGAGGGCTGGCAAGGGCCCCAAGGAACATTACATCAGTGCTTCTCAACCAGGGCCATTTTTGCCATGCAGGGGACATTTGACATTGGTAGAAGACATTTTTGGTTGTCAAAATTTCGTGGTAGGAAGAGGTTGTGTTTCTCATTCAGTGGATGCTTCTGAAGATCAGACAGTCCCCAAAACAGCACCCATGTCACAGGCTTCTGCCCAGAATGTCAGGAGTGCTGCTGCGAGAAACCCAGTGAGATAAGCCTTGTTCAGCACTGCAGGGTCTCTCCTCTGGAAGTGGGAGGGTATTGATGCAGGAAGTGACACACAGGTACATTTATGGGTTGGGGAGCACTGGCCACAGTCATCCTAGAAGAGCCTTGGTTCCCTCAGTGCCACAAATTGAAAAGGGCAGGAGCTCCTTGGTCTTTGTTCTTATCATGACCACAGATCCCTCTTCCACAGCACCACTGTGCTCAGCTTCTTGTCTGGTGCTTCAACTTAGGTTTGTCATCTTTCCAGCTAGAGGAAAGTTTGTGTGTTAGTTATTCTTTCTCATTTTCCTTTTATACTGCCTAGCAAAGTGCTGTCCCTACTGAAGGTTCTCAAATATTTGTTGCTTCGGTTTTCTTCTTAGAGTGAGCATAAAGAAAATTGGAAAGGATGAATTCAGTTGGTTCTGTTCTCATTGGATGATTTTAAGGCTGACAGTAACAGTAACACAGTCACACAACCAGATTTAAGCACATTCCTACCAGTTATGTGGTATTGTGGTTTGCAAATGTTAATGCAGGTAAAAGAATTCCATTTAACACCAAGAATGGCCTGCTGCCCAGTAAATGTGTGTGACATCAATCTGATGGTTACAGGGAAAAGCCTTGAAGAGCAAGGAGTTAGTCACAACGTAAAGGCAATGGTGCTTGAGCTAAAGCAGTCCGAAGAGGATGTGAGGAAAAACTCCCAGGTGGAGGAAGAGGAGCAAAACGAGGCTGAGCTAAAAGAAAAACAAATTCAGAGGACGAAGAGAGGACTAGAGATACTGGCAGAGAGAGGTACCCACAGCCTCGGGCTTGTCACCTCACTTGTGTATGAAGGTGGCCACGAGCCACATGAATAGGGTGGGGGAGGGGGTCCCACAGTCTAACGTTTTGGACATGGTCACTGTCACTGCTGTTTAACCCTAAATTAATGGAGCTCCTTTGGTCTTGCTGCAGCTGAGATGGTGGTGGATCCAGAAACTACACCATACTTAGACATAGCGAACCAGACCGGCAGGTCAATCAGAATTCCCCCATCAGAAAGGAAAGTAAGTTTTTGGTGCCGTGTGCATGGCACTCCCTCTCTCGGGTTTGTTGTCACTGAGTCAGGCCCAGTAGCTCATTATAATGAAGAGCTCTAGTGATTAGGGGACAAGTTAATTTTACTTTTTCTATCTTTAAGATACAATTTAGAGTGGGCCTCACTATTTGAATTGCTCTTTTTAAAGTTAATAATTAAAATTAAGTTTTAATAACAGAACTTTGTGGATTGATGTTTGACTGTGGATTGAGGTTGGTTTTTGAAGCATCAGTGATTATTTGCCCACCGCTTTTGTACACTAAGTGATGACATCTAGATCTTTTTGGAAAACCTTTAGAAAACCAAGTTATGTAAAAATTCAAATCTTAAAAAATTAATGAACTGCAAAAATTTTTGGATCACCTTTGTTGCTTCCTGTTACTATAACAACATACCTGAGATAATTAACTTATGAAGAGAAAAGCTTTAATTTGACTCACAATTCTGGAGGCTCCATAGCGTTGGGGCTGTGGTGAGGCACATCAGCGTGGAAGCGTGTGGCAGAGGACAGCTATGCACCTCACCAGCCAGGAAACAGGATGGGTAAAGAGAGGTCTGGGGTCCCACAGTCTCCCTTTGAGGGCAGTCCCCAGTGAGTTTTGGCCCTCCCACCTCTCAAAGGCTTCACCACCTTACAGTGGCACCACCCTGGGGACCAAGCCTTTATTTAACATTTGGGCTTTTGGGGACACTTATCCAAACCATGGCAAACTTTTAAAAATTTTTGTGCAGATACTAGAGTTGACAGACTTTAGAAAAAAGTTATGGTTAAGAATAGGAAGTGATAGCCAGGTATGGCAGCATGCCCATGGACTGAAATGGGAGGATCACTTGAGTCCAGGAGTTCAAGTCAAGCCTGGGCAACATAAGGAGACCCATATCCAAAAAAAGAAAAAAGAAGGAGAAAGAGAGTGAAATGAATGCTCTTATTTTATATTATAAAATATTTTGAGATAGGGTTTTGCTGTGTAACCCAGGCTAGCCTCAAATTTGTGACAGTCCTGCCTCAGGCTCCTGAGTAATGCTGGATCATACAGGTATAAGGATACAAGAATTACTGGTTTGGTTTTACAGAGCACTGGAAATGGATCTAGATCAGCAGATACCAAAATAAACTGATGAAAACAAGGGCTGGGTGTTGCTTACAACCACATGAGCTGCGTAAAGTGAGAGCTTTGCTTTGGTGTTTAAATGAAGTGCAGCTTTGATTATCGTTTTCTTAATTTGGGCTTTCTGTTGGGCTGTAATTGTGGTTTGGTTTTGTTTTGACCCTTATTTGTTTGCTATGCTTTGTAATATAATTGGTTTTGCTATATTTTAAAGTGATTTTTTTAAATCCATATTCTTTTCTAGGCCCTAATGTTAGCTATGGGATACCATGAGAAAGGCAGAGCTTTCCTGAAAAGAAAAGAATATGGAATAGCCTTGCCATGCCTTTTGGATGCTGACAAATACTTCTGGTAGGCAATTTTGTACTTAGTGGAGATGGCCCGATTACCCACAGCCCCTCCATCCCTGTAACCTTAAACTCACATTTTTATCCAAGTCAGTGGTTGATATGAAAGAGTGTAGATCAATTGTGAGTTATCCCTTACCTTTGTATCTCTGATTGGCCTTTCTATCCTGTACAGAAAGCACACGTACTTGTTTTTACAAGAAGCATGTAGGAATGTACCCCAAATGATGCATGCTGGACTGTCTGATAGCTCTTCCCGTCACCTTTCACTTGATGATCTTGGGATAGATGTTGAGATCATTCCTCAAATCCAGTTACATTCGGGGCTGCAAACTGGTGACACTCTTGTTCTTTCTGCACTTCTCTGAAAAGAAATATTTTTCTTTGTCAACTATTTGTTTATGCTGAGGTATATGCACAGGAAGAAGAACAAAATTCTTGGTTCCTTTCTTTATATTTCCTTTTTTTCAAAATAAATGAGTTGGTCCCCCAAGGTGACCAATGAAGTTTTTTTTTTTCTATTCTTTTCAAAAAGTATCAATATTAACTGAAGGATTTTAACACATTTGATGTGCCATCTTTGGCTGGTAGCTTGCCCCTTTGTCTTTTTGCCCAGGTCTTGATAGTCTGTGTAGATGCTTATCTCTGGAGCCCAGAGACAGTCTCCTAGACCGGAGCTAGATCCCAAGGAACCTGGTTCCCCTTAGTGGGACATGGTACGTAGAGGCTGTAATCTGGCTCATTAAATACTTGAAAAGTAGATTTGATATACCTCATTATGAAGTTGTTTTCATTTTGGTGAATTTCTAAGATGATCCTCTACATGTCAAAAAGATAAACACAAATGTTTGTAGATTGTCAGCTGCATTGGTCAACACCTTCAGGTCTTAAGTGAACAAATCCCAAGTTTAACATACACAGAGGGAGTTTATTGTTCCAAACATTTAGGAGCAGAGGGATAAGGCTGGAAACAGTAGAAACAAGAACAAGAGCCAGGGGTACCTGGAGTCTCTACTCTGTCCATCTCTCTCTGCGTCTTTATGGATGTCAGTATTACTCTTGTGCTGCAGGATAGACTCTATGAGTTGAGTCCTTAAAATTCAGGTAAAGTTTTCATTTTCTTCCAGAGTTGTTCCTGCCTTGTTATTGTAGAAAATTTCAAATATACATATAAAAATAGAAACTAGTATTTGAACTTCCATAAACTCATAAGCTGGCTTTCCCTGTTAACAAGAAATGGTCAGTCTTGATTCATCTGTGTGAGCCTTTCTCTATCTTTTTACCCTGGACAAATTGTTGACATAATTTTCAGATCTCAGAGGACCTCTGACTGAGAATAACTATCTTCAGTTCATTGTATGTGTTCAGTAAGTAGTAGACACAAAGTCAAACAATTACTGTCAGTATCTTTTTAAGTAGATGTGTTAGTCAGCTTTCCTTTACTGTAACAAATACCTAAGACAATTCACTTACGAAAAGGAAGTGAATTTGTGTTTTGGCTCACAGTTTGGAGGTCTTATAGTCTGTGAGTGTTTGGCCCTTTGCTTTGGCTTGTGGCAGCATAGTACATCATGGCAGGAGTGCAGCCTGGTCACCTCATTGTGGCTGGGACGCCAAGAGAGACAGAAAGAAACCGGTGTCTCTTTGTCCCTTTTATCCACCACCCCCATAACCTGAAAGCTCCCACTAGGCTTTACCTCTTAAAGGTTCCACCACCTTCCAGCAATGCCAAGCTTTGGACTAAGCCTAAAGGGACCCTGGGGACATTCCAGATTGAAATCCAGCAATAGAGAATGGTGGTTTTTCCCCAAGGATCTGTTTATTATGGCCAGTGTATTAGCATATTTTTGTGTGATTTCCCCTTTTGTGAAGGAGACCTGCCATAATGTGAGCCAGTGGTGGTATTATCTTTTCCAAGTAAGCTAGATGTTCTATCACAACTTTTTACCTACATCTTGATGTGTGTTGTATTATGCCAAGAATACTTTATTTATTCATTTATTTTGTGATGTCCAGAGTTGAACCCTAGGGCTTTGTGCATACTAGGCAGGTGCTCTACCACTGAGCTACACACCCAGCCCTCTTTTCTTGTTTAAAGCTAAAAATAGAAGTTCTGTTTACAGCCAAAAGGGAGTAATAGGAACCAGATTTACTCTGTTACTTGAAGTACCCCAAAATTTTTTAATGTATACAAATCAACAGCTCTGGCAGCACAGGGAGGATAAATGCAGGCAGAGCCATGTGGTCTCAAGTAAAGGAGATGGAGCTAGGAGTCTGAAGTCCAAGTTACTGGGAGGAGAGAGCTTCAGAGGGTCCCTGTTGAGTGGTGATCAGCACACACATGTGAAGAAACTACCCAAAGCTGGGCAAGGACACCAGAAAGAAGCAGCAAGAATAGCCCTCAGTGACCACGGAGGCTGGGAGTAGTTTGTGTTCCTGCCAGGCAGAGTGGAGAACTTTGTAATAACAGGGCAGCAGTTGAGCAGTCAGAAATGTGTTGCCTCAGCTCTGGAGCCCAAAAAGTGGCTCTAGTCCCACCTAGTAGAGCCAGAAACCTTCCAGTGATCAGTAAGCTTAAGTTACTGTTTTCAAGTAACTTAAATACATCCCTAACAAAACTCAGTAATTTAGCAACACAAAAATATCCAGTGTCCAGTTAAAAATTAGCAGGATATAAAGAATCAAGAAAATGTAACCTATAAGGAGGAGAAAAATCTATCAACAGAAGTAGATCCAGAAGTGACAAAGAAGCTAGAATTAGTAGGCAGGGACATTAAAATAGTAACTACAGTCCATATATTGAATATTCCATTTATCTGACCATGTCAGATAAAGGCATGAGATACACACAGAAGACTCACATTGGAACCTAAAAGCTAAAAAATACAACGCTCACAATGAAAAGTGCAGAGGGTGGGATTAGCTACAGAACAGACACTGTAGAAGAGAGGACTAGTGAATTTGTGAAGGCAGGTAGTAGAAACTCTCCAGTATGACACAGAAAAAAGACTAGACTTGGGGCAGGGAGGATGCTAGAGCATCAGCAAGCTGAGGAGCAACCTCAGGCAGTTGGAGGTCCTGAGGAGAGGGAGGCAGGTGGCACAGAGAAGTATTTGAAGAAATAAGGGCCAAAACCTTTCCCAGTTTGATGAAAACTATATCCCCTCTCCCAGACAGAAGAACTTTAATGAACCTCAAGTACAAAAAATATGGGGGAAAACCTAAACCAAGGCACATGACAGCCCAAATCCTGAAAAATAGTAATAAATGTAAAAATGACTTTTTAGCCAACCTTTCTTCAAAAAAGATACCTAAGCTTAGCTTACCTTTCTTGAAATTATTATCTGTCTTATTTTACATAAGAGTCTTAAACTCATAAGACAAACATAATAAATTTATATTAAATAACCAACTTTAAGTCCAAATTGGATTTAATTTTTCTAAAGTTGGGCTTAGCAGGTTTTATTTAAATAAGTATTGCTGTGTACAGTGGCTCATGCCTGTAATCCCAGCTACTCAGGAGGCAAAAATCAGGAGGATGGAGGTTTTTGAGGCCAGTCCTGGCAAAACATTAGTGAGGCCAAATATCAACCAGCAAGGCAGGGTGGCAGCACACACCTGTGGTCTCAGCTAGGAGGAGACTATGGGCAGAAGGATCAGAGTCCAAGGCTAGCCCTGGGTGAAAGTAAGATCCTGCCTAAAAATAACCTAACGAAAAGAAGGCTGGATATGTAGCTCAAGTGGTAGAATGCTTGCCTAGCAAGCACAGGCTCTGTGCCTTCAAAAACAAACAAACAAAAAAGCGTTGTGCATCTATTTTAATTTATTGACAGTACTGAATATTAAACTAAAACTATAAATCAAATTAGTATTAATAAAAATATACTCTAAAACACAGTTTTTCCCAATTGAAATGATCAGGTTCAAATACCGTTAGGGCTATAACAGTTTCACAGTTACAATGTATAGGTGTTGATTTCTTGAAATGGTAGAATAAAATATACCCTAGTAATAGGAATAGTTTTGTTTTTTTTTTTGTTTGTTTGTTTTTACTGCACATATATTCAGTTCTGGGTTATGCTTGAGATAAGCACACATTGATTTTGGTTTTGACTGACATAAGGCTTTCCCTCCTTGGTCTGGATGCTTATTAAACATGACAGAGCCAGTTCACACCTGGAAGAAATAAAAAGGGAGCCAGGTGACTCACATCTGTAATCTTAGCTTCTCAGGAGGCTGAGATCAGAAGAATGGTGGGCTCAAGGCCAGCCCACGCAAATAGTTCATGAGACCCCCATCTCCAAAATAATCAGAGCAAAATGGGCTGGAGGTGTGGCTCAGCAGTAGAGTACCTGCTTTGCAAGTGCAAAGCCCTGAGTTCAAACCCCAGTCCCACCAAAAAAAAAAAAAAAAATGGAGAAGTGGCAAACTGCCCATTGCATTCCTGTGAATGAGAGGACGCCATTCTCTGTCGTAGAATGGCAAACACCTTGGAGACAGATTAGGAAATCTCTCTTAAGTGTAAAATCAGACCTCAATCCGCTCAAGTCTTCCACTTCTCCAAAGTCAGGTTCTCAGGCACTGCATCAGATTTGGAGAAAGTGCCCTTTACCAAGTCCTGGACCTGTGTGTGCATGTGTGTGTAAAATGTGGTGTATGTACCAAACTATTCACAAGGAATAGGAATGTTACAGAGACAAGGAGCTGTTAGCATGTCCCCGCCATCCTAGATACCTCTCCGTGTCACAAGCCTCCTCACCACCCTCAAACCTAGCAGAAATGACTACAAAAGTATTGCTCTAATACATTTTCTTGCCCCCTACTGGACTATGTACACCCCTAGCAGAGACCACTGTTTTCAGGGTAAATAACAACAACAAAAATTTTAGAGATACAGCATCCAGCCTCTGTGTCACAGTCCCCCCTCTGCCTCAAGTTTTCTGTTGTTAGTGGTCTAGGCAGGGTCAGTGTTTCTGAAAAACAGAAGAGGAGAGAGAGGTTCCTCAGGCCTGGGTGGGCCTAGCTTGCAGCCAGGGTTGGAAGCCACTGTTGAAAGCTTGGTTTTCCATGTTTTGAGGCAGGTGGCTCAGGCCGCTGTTCCCTAATGGCACTTTTCCCACTGGAAAACTTCAGATCGTAAATACAGCCTCCTCAGTCAGTCTTTGAAACTACACCAAACACGGGAAGGAATTCTAAGCCCACAGGCTTCCGTGCGGCAGGTCAGTGACATGGTCCCTTCTCCTTGCAGTGAGTGCTGCACGGAGCTGCTGGACATGGTGGATAACTACGCTGTGCTCCAGCTGGACATAGTGTGGTGCTACTTCCGCCTGGAACAGCTGGAATGCCTTGACGACGCAGAGAAAAAGCTAAACTTGGCCCAGAAGTGCTTTAAAAATTGTTACGGAGAAAACCATCAGAGACTGGTCCACATCAAAGTATGTCACTGTCACTTGTCTCATGTCACCCATTTCTAGGACTTGTTTTTATTCCTGTTAGTGTGTTTAGACTGCTGCCAGAGGTGAGTTTGTCTTGGGAGTGGTCTGCACTCCCAAGTGCTCTTTGTATGCTAGACTTTTAGCAAGCACTAATTGCTTTGTGAATCTGGATGTCTCTTGGTGCATATTCAGCTCAGAGGAACAATTTGCTAGTCATAGACTCCCATCCTCCTGAAATCGATCACTTATCTACACTCAGTAGTAGCAACCTAGGTGGTGGAGACAATTGTCCTGACCTCAGTTTTCTCCCGTGTGGCAGGCAAGGGGAAGGGAAGTAGTCACTGAGGTTTGTCATCAGTAGTGACACTGTGAACACTTTAGTACTACCATTTGCTCTGTGTGACAAAGGGAATTACAAATGTGACCACTGTGCACCTGTAGAAGCAAGACAGCTTTATCCTTTTTCCCCAATAACTTCAGGGAAACTGTGGCAAGGAGAAGGTGTTGTTTTTGAGACTCTACTTGCTTCAGGGAATCCGAAACTACCACAGTGGAAATGGAGAAGAGGCCCGCGAGTATCTCAGCAAGGTAAGAAAGGCGGGAGCTGTTCTCACCTGCTTCTGTTCTGGTCCCCACAAGTGGAGAACTTTACACATCCCATAGTTTGTGACTTGTGAGAAACATGCGTCTCCCTCCTGTTCCTTTCCTTTCTGTGTACCACACACGTATTTGTGTTTGTTAGGGTGCAGGTAAGATGCTGTAATAAGGGCACTTCAGAAAGAACAGTGACTTCAGTTGACTAGAAGCTTCCACCTCTCATCTAGTAGTCTTGAGATGAGCAGGCCAGGCCAGGGCGTACCACTGGGGCAGCCCAGGTTGCTCCTCTCAGTGCCTGTACTGCCAGCAGAGGGTGCCAGAGAGTCACAGCAGGCCCTAAATAGAGGAAGGAGAAGTGGCACCCACCATTTGGCTTACATGCCCCTGACCTAGACAACCACCTGACCACACCTTGCTGTAAGCAGGAGTGAGGAATCCCATGAGTACAGCATCAAAAACTCGATGATAATCTTCAAACTTGAAGACAGCTCAAATTCAGGGAATTTTATTACAAAAAAGAAGAGGATAGTGGATCACTCACTTCCACAATACCTTGCCTGTTTGCTCGTGCTGTGTAATGGATAAGTTGTGCAAGCAAAGATAGAGGTGTCTCTTTTTTTTTTTTTTTTTTTCCGGTGCTGGGGACCGAACTCAGGGCCTTACACTTGCCAGGCAAGCGCTCTTCCACTGAGCTAAATCCCCAACCCTGAGGTGTCTCTTTCCATTGGTGATCAGAGATTAAGTTTAGAGTTCCCATGTAAAATCGGACAAAAAGTAATTCATGTTGAGTCTGATGTGATTTCTTCTAGGCTTCAGCTGTGTGTTAACCTTTGCTGTTGCTGTAGTTACAAGACTTGTATCTCTGTTTGTAGGCTCGTCAGCTCTTTAAAGAGCTGTGTATTGATCCGGCAAAAGTTCATAACTTAATGCAGCTGGGGTTCACTGCCCAGGAAGCCCGGCTCGGCCTGCGGGCGTGTGACGGGAACGTGGACCATGCGGCCACCCACATTTCCAATCGCAGAGAGGTACCACTTCAGTTGCACCTGCTTGAGGCCTGTGCCTTTGAGGAGATTGTGAAGGGTGGGGGCAACAGGAGGCCTGTCTCTGAATTGCCTTGGCTCCCTTTGGTAGGAAAGAACAGAGAAGATAATCCCATAAGAGGCATTAATGACAAAGGAACACTTTATCACTCCAGATCCGAAGGAAGGAGTTACTTGTCTTTGAATTACATCGACTGTCAGACAGCTCAACTTTCTGCCATTGTGGCAGGTTATTTAAGCAGTCTTCCTCTCTCAATCTCTGTCCATCCCACAGCACCACAGTGTATTTCTGGAACCATTTTAAAGGAGGCTGTGTTTTCCCACAGGGCCATTGTGATAGTTTGGGATTGCATTCTTACCTAGAAACATGAGTCAAACTACAGGAACAGTAGTAGTGTATTATGAAAACGCAGGTTAAAAAAACTACCTTCGCTTAAAACAAGTACATTAAAGAAAGCTTTAAGCCTGGTGCTGGTGGCTCACACCTGAAATCCTAACTACTCAGGAGGCAGAGATGAGGAGGGTCGTGGTTTGAAGCCAACCCTGGGCAGGAGCAGATCTGAGGTGCATGCTGCTTCCCCATGCTCACTGCTGCCCAAATTGGTGTGACTGTGACCCAGTCACTTAGTGTTCTTGGAAGATTTCTGTGTCTTCATTGGCAAAATGATGGCGTTGGATTAAATTAGTGAGTTTCAAACTTGATTGATTGATTGCATTGCTGGGGATCAAACCGGGGGCCTTGCACCAGCTAAGCAGTGCTCTACACAGAGCTACATCCCCACTTCCAACCTTGCTTTTTAGCATTAAAACCTCTCTTTGAAAAATGACATTTTTTATGGGCATCTCCATCTACAAAATATATGTAGAAGTCTCCCAGTGTGGGGCCTGGTTGAGGAGAAGGGAAGAGACTAGAGCCGTCTGTGACCAGGTTAGGCCCTGCAGCTGCCCCAGGCCCATCTGAAGAGCAGGTGCACTGCTGTAGGGCTGGGTATACCACAGAGCACTCTGGGTTCCAGTGGACCCTGGCCACAGTATGCTGGGGCTTCAGCAGCATTGGCACTGCTCAGGAGCCCCCACCCCCAGTTAAGTCACAGTTCACATTTTAGCCTGAATCCTGGGGCGCTTCACCAGAAGCCAGGACACCTTCCGACCCAAGACAGGAAGTTCTTCTGTCCTCTCATAAAGGGTCCTGCCAGTTCCCTGGGGGCCTCCAGCACTGAGTGTTCCCTGGCTCCTAGTGCTGGATGGTAGGGCTCTGAGGTGTCTTCACTTCCACTGCTGGCCTCAGAGCCAGCCACAGCCCCTGCCCCTGTGGCTCCTGCTGTCAGACTGGGCAAGGACAGGCAGAGAGGCCCCCTCTGTTTGGTGGTTCACCTGGCCTGGAGACCTGAAGAACCCTCCAGAGCACAGCCCAAGATGCTTTCTGCCACGTCTATGATTCAGTAGGCCTCGCTGTTTTCCTAAAGGAACTGGCCCAGATAAGGAGAGAGGAGAAAGAGAAGAAGCGCCGCCGTCTGGAGAGCATCAACTCTCTGAGAGGAATGGGGTACTCCATGCATGCGGCCAAGCAGGCCCTCCAGCAGGCCAGCGGGAACCTGGACGAAGCCCTGAAGGTGATGTCTCCGGCACGCTCTGCAGCCCTGCTTACACACTCCCCAGGGTCCTTCCCATATTAGAGCCCAGCCCTGCAATTCCCAGTTTGGATCCGAGGGTTGGGTCTGCTGCCCTTCAACCAATCTCAGGCTCAGTGTCAGGCTGCCTGGCCATGGGAGGGGCACCTGCTCAGGTCGGCACGCCACGGCCAGGTGTTGGTGTCGAGGTTCTGTCTGCAGCAGAGTTTAATGTCCATGGAGGTTGCTTCTAGAGTGGAAAAAGAGAGTGGCAAAGTTCCAGTATGTTTTTGAATTACAATTTTAATTTGAGTATCTGATTTTATTTAGTGCCTCTTGGCAAAGGGGCTTTTAAAAGAAATCGCCAGAAATGACAGACCAGTAGTAACCTCACTGGGGTCCATCTCCTCTCCCGCTGTTGTTTTTTGGGGGATTTTCGGCCGTACTTGAGTTTGAACTCAGGGCCTTGTGCTTGATAGACAGGTGCTCTGCTGAATGACGCGTGCCTGGGCCACTTCGCTTTATTACAGTTTGAGTGGGATCTTGCTTTTATGCTTGGCCAGTCTGGACCATGACCCTTCTATTTCAGACTTCCCATGTAGCTGAGATGGCAGGTGTGTGCCACCATGGCCCAGCTTTTTCATTGATTGAGATGGTGTCTCTCAAACTTTTTCCCCAGCTGGCCTCAAAGCACAATCCTCCTAATCTCTGCCTCCCTAGTTGCTGGGATTACAGGTGCAAGCCACCATGCCCAGCTCCCCATCTATTCCACTTCTATCCTCAGCTCTGACCTGCCCTTTGGCCTGAGCCTTCCAGAACACAGCCCCATTCTCAGCCTGGGTTGGGGTACCCTGTTATTGCTTCCTGGCACCCTTTGAGTAGTCCACCAGTGTCCTCCCCGTTTGTCCCAGGGATGGACAAGTGCTGGGGCTGTGAGCCCACACGTGATGGTGCCAGTCTGAAGATTCCTTAATGAATGGAAGGGTGTCCCTTGCTTCTAGATTCTCCTCAGTAATCCTCACATGTGGTGGTTACAAGGCTCAGATCCTGAAACCAACAGCCACCAAGGAAGTCCTTTCCAGGAGAGCATTGCCCAGGTGAGTGACAGGCCTGGCTTTGTGCTTGCACCTCAGTGGAGCTGCCTGGGGGGGCCAGGGTGGTGGCAGCACTGAGCAGGCCTGCTGAAGGCCTGCGTTCAGCTCCAGCTGGGACTTGCCTGCCCTGGGAGAGCCCCAGGCATGCACAGAGGTGGACACTGGGTGGGATTAGCAGGAGTCCCTTAGAGCGGGAACGACTGAGACGTCTCCCTCAAGTTTGCCTGTTTCTTCCATATGCCACTGTTTACGTCAGCCCCATTCTCCTGCTCAGGACCTAAAAGGACAGCACTGTGTTCTGAGAAAGTCCTCCATGTTGCGCCATCCACACTTGCCCTGCACGTTAATGTGCCTGCCTCACACACTGAGGCGCTTAACGTGGTGCTTGTGCTCAGGCTTGCACAACACTTCACTCTCAGCCCTGACTGTCCTGAGATGACTGCACAAGACCCAAACCTCCTGAAACCCTTTCCTGGGGGCCTCCTGCCTGTTGGGGCTAAAGAGTGACTTGTCAGAAATGGAAGTGAGTTCTTGAAAGTGAGACAGAACTGTCCTAGCTATGCCCCGTGGGAACAGGAGCACGAATGTGGTGGTCCATGTAGCACTGTGGGCTGAGCTTCATGGTCATGGCCGTCACCCCTCTGCTCTTCTTAGCTGGTGTACATGGGTTTTGACGCAGCTGTGGCGGAAGCTGCGCTGAGGATGTTTGGGGGCAATGTCCAGCTGGCAGCTCAGACCCTCGTACACCATGGAGGAAGTCTTCCTCCTGACCTGCAGCTCTCGGGGGACAGCTCGTCGTCCACACCATCCCCGTCTCCTTCAGACTCTGCAGGTAGGTCTGCAAAGTCCCTGCCAACACACCAGGCCAACCTGGAGACTGAGAAAGGCATTCCTGCTCTCCGGTTGGTTCAGGACAGAGGCAGTCAGAGGGCCACTGACTGTGCAGTCGTCCTGAGGGTGACCCTCCTCGAGTAACTCCCTTATCCCTGTGGTTTGTCAATGCAGGAACCTCTAGTGCTTCGACAGACGAAGACATGGAGACAGAGGCCGTAAATGAGATACTGGAAGACATTCCTGAGCACGAGGAAGACTATCTCGACTCAACTCTGGAAGATGAAGAGATTATTATTGCAGAGTACCTATCCTATGTAGAAAATATAAAGTCAGCTGCAGACAAAAATTAAGTAATGAAGAGAAATAACTACTAAGTTTCTGCTTATAAATTCTGTCCTTGTGAAAAGTCTAATGCAGATCTTCTTTTTGTTCCTCTTGCTTTTCATCAATTTTGCTCCAAGTGTGCTTCCTCCTTGGGTGTAGGAGGGGCTGCTGGGGGCCTGGCAGAGAGGAGAGAGAGAGAGACTTTGGGGTATAGGACACTGGTCTTGCTGCTGTTCCCTTCTGCCTCTTAAGTTCTGCATCCCTAACAACCTCCCTGCTTGGTTTTCCATCTAGATCCCGGAAGCAGGCTCACCTCTGGAGAACAGGGTGGTCCCTGGGGAAGGGGAACAGGCAGGGGATAGATGTGCTTGGGCCTGTCTCCTCCTCTTCCTCTCAAGCCAGGCTTCCTCTGCAGCTCGCCTCCTGTACTGCTGCTGAAGTTGTCCTTGCCGTGAAGCTCTCTCTGCCATGTGTGCTTATAAACTCCTGTCTGCCTGCACCACCCTTGCAGCTGCCCCAACAGTCATCCTTGAAATCTTCATCCCAAGTGCTGTGGGGGCATAAAGATGAGTCACGGCTTGCAGTAGCCAGACCACATGGTGGCAAATGCCTTTATCTTGAAATACCAATGTTTTATGCTTAGTTCAGTAAAATTTGCACCTAAAATTCAAGGCTGAAAAATCAGACTTTGTATGAGGGTTGAACATATATAAAATGAAACCCTTTCATTAAATGAGAAAGTTTTAAATACTAACCAAAGCAACTTATTTTTAATTAACATTTTGAGGCTGCTGTCATAGGAAACTCACTGCTAACTAAGAGGCCTATCAGAGATTTAGATATATTTTCTCCAAGTTCTTGTGGTGATTTTTGTCATATCTGGATGACAGAAGACCATTACTGAGGGGACCTGGTAAGCCTTTTGCTGACCCCGGTAATTTATCACTGCACCATGAGTTCCCCTTGGATGTGAACTAGGTGGGCATCCTTTCAGTGCTCAGCATGCAGGCACCAGCCAGGTGCAGGCAGGATCGAGCGTCAGGTATGTTCCTGAGAGCTTTCTAAAAGCTGCCAGTGAGCCGGTGAAGAGGACCAGATGGGCTGTGTGCTGCCGTCAAGGGCTGACTGGTGTTTGATTTTGCATGAAGTGTGGACAGCAGTCTAGTTTGGATGAGTGAGAATTGTCTCTTGTTCTTTTAAGATGGAGGATACTGATGGAAATAAAAAGTGGAAAATCCATTTGAAAGTTGGCCTAGCTACAGTAAGATGCTAAACTCGGTTGTTTTCTGTCTTGAAGATATTCTATTCTGAACACTGTGAGGAAACAGAGTGTTACCCTCAAAAGCAGCAGCAGGCAGCAGGTAGAACCCTGGCCTGGCATGCACGAGGCCTGGGTTCCATCCCCAGCAAGGTTGGATGCTGCTCTGAGAGGGCACGTGTGAAAAGCAGGGCTTGGCCAGGAAGGAGTCTCAGCGGAGGGTGAAGCAGAACATCGGGTCTGTGTCAAAAGCGGCCACCAGCCAAGATGGTGGAGAACCTTGGTCTTATTTAAGACCATGTCAGACCTGGATTTTTGGCCTGTGTTGACGCTTCTGGGTTCCCAACTTTTTTTTTTTTTTTTGGTGGTACTGAAGTTTGAACTCAGGGCCTACACCTTGAGCCACTCCACCAGCCCTTTTTTGTGATGGGCTTTTTTGAGATAGGGTCTCAAAAACTATTTGCCTGGGCTGGCTTCAAATCATGATCCTCCTGATTTCTGCCTCCTGAGTAGCTAGGATTACAGGTGTGAGCCACTAGCACCCAGCTCCCAACTATTTTAATAGCAGTGGAAAAGGCCAGCAGGCCCTCCTAAAGACAGCTGCAGGAAGCCAGTCCTGGGAGTGGGCATTGTCTGCCTTGCCACAGCTGCTGTGAGGGAGGAAGGAGGCTAAGGCCCCCACTGGAAGGTTCTCCTTTGAAAGCCAGAGGAGAAAACACTGCAGATCTTAGACAAATGAGATGATAGTGGGGGACACCAGGCCCAATGTGAAATGCGTGGGCGCCAGAGGAGATGGTTCTGGAACCCACCAAGAGGGGATGGTGAGGGAGGAGAAGAACAAAGAAGGATTGCTGGGCCCAATCACAGAGCCCTGAAAAACAAGTGCAGTGTAACTTGGGATGGCAGAACGCCTGGCACTTGGAGGACCTGGGGTCGGCCTGGGGTAGATGATGGAAGCCTGTGAAGCCAGCCCGAGGCTGTGGGGGGATGTGCTGGACTGGGCCAGTGTCCTTGAGCCCACATCACTTGTCAAATTCTGCCTGCCTTTGGCCCTGGTGACACTTCCAAACCCTGCCTGTTTTCCTGTCCGGATGTCCTGTAGATAGTTCCTGGCTTCTTCCCTTTACCAACTGAATAGATTGTTCACAGGCAGACACCTGGTTTCTTCCTTTTCTTTTCAGTGCTGGGGATTGAACCCAGGGCCTCTTGAATAGTAGGCGAGTGCTCTACCACTGAGCTACACCCCCTGCCCTGATTTCTTCCTTTTAGTGTGGTGTCAGAGAGGACCAGGTGTGGTTCAGAGCATCCAGCAGTACCACACACACCACCTCTCTTGGGTTCATGGGAACCCTGGTCGTCTTTATATGCTCAACACTGAGCATTGTGTGTGCCGTGGAATTAAGAGCTAACTCAGTGGTTTGTGAAACTCACACTCTGCTGTGGCTGGGTAGGGTGAGAAGATGATGCCATATAAGCACCACCTGGCAGCGTCAGCAAGCTCCTGAGAGAGTGGGATGTCAGTACATGCAAGTCAGTTCCATCTGCCTCTGCCTCCTACAGCCTCCCCCCAGCCTGGTGGGAAGCCCTCTTTCTGGCCCATAGGGGAGCTGCTAGATAGTGAGGGATCCTGACCCAGCAGGACCTGGCCGCCCAGTCTCTATGAGAGCCCAAGTCCCACACAAATGACAATGTTTGGTCCCATTTCTGGGGTTCTCCGGCCTCATTCCGTCTGTCACCAAGCAGCCTGGTTTCCTGAGGGGCAGGGCTGGGGGGATCTGGCTCCATCAAAAAGGTGTGCATTCTTCCTCCTGCCCACAGGGGTGTGATCCCCACATCAGGCATGGCCATTGTGAAGAGCAGGCGGGACGTGGGGCAGTGGACCTCACCAATCAACACGTGTGCAAGTGAGGTGCTTCGTGCTCTGCCTCGGGCTGACCTCTCAGCAAGATGCTGAGCTCTTAATGTCAGGCGCTGTTCCTCGCAGCTTCTCTTCCTGCACCTGGGGTCATCTGGGACCATGGGTGTAGGCAGTGGCACCCCCTTCAGGTGCCACTGAGGGGCGGGATGCTGATGGAGGCTCCTGCCTGTGCCTCTTCTGGTGGCCCACCTCTTGGGATGCTCCAGTGGCTCTGTGTCACATGCCTCCACCATGCTTGGTGCAGTGCCAGCTCCTCTGTACAAGGCCAGGTGCCTGCTGTCCAGCCTTCCTCTGCCGAACCTTGATGGAAGGCACCCCCCTGGATTCATGTCATAAAATGACTGATGTTCTGCAGTAAGGGCCTCACTGTCAACCAGACAGGCTGCAGAGCCTGTTCCTGACCCTCAGTCCTCTCCCACAGCCATTCTCTGCAGTGAACTTGGTGGTAGCCCCCGATCTCAGCCAGGAGAGGTGGCCCAGGCCAGGTGTGTGAGGCAGAACTGGGCAGGAGGTCACACCTCTGGGTTCCTGGAGCCCCTCCCTACCTCCAAAAGGAAGCCAGGCTGAGTTTTCAAAAGAAAGCAGAACATACTCAAGAGCACTTTTTAAGGACATGCCTTTGAGTTCTTCCGAGGGTCCGCATGACAGATGACTTGCCAAAGTAAGGACCTGACTCTGGCTTTTGCACAGAAGTCCTCTCAGCAGGAAGGGGCGGGGGCGGGTGGGAGAGGGGGAAGGGCCCCAAGGGCTGGGGGCAGTCAGGATGGAGCCCCTGAGAGCTGGGAGGGTCCCAAGCACGCCAAGTGGCAAGGCTTTGTCCTCCCTTTGGGAAGGGTCCCCAGGTCTCTAAGGACAGGCACAGCCCCCACTATGCAGCCCAGCAGCAGAGAAGGTGGAAAGGCCTGCCACGCTGTCCCAGTTGCATGCCTCTCCCTCTCCACTCATCCCCAGCCACTCAGGCAGGCTGCAGAGGCACAGGGGCCGCACAGGCCACCTTGTTGCTGAAGAGGCGCGACAGGCTGCGCTTGGCTGTCAGTCTTCGGGGCGGGGGTGGCAGTCCCCGGACATCCCAGAGGCGCAGGACACCGTCATGCGATGCTGTGTAGAGTACCTGGCCGTGCACCTGTGGGCAGGCAGGGTGAGCTGCTGGCCAGGCAGGACACCAGGGCCTCCTCCCGGGTGGAGGGCCTTCACTTCCCTGGGGCAGTGGGGACAAAGAGCTGGGCAGGGAGGGTCCTACCTGGAGGCAGTTGATGACAAAGGCATGGCCCCGGAACACCCTCTGCAGCACTCCCGACTGGGCGTCGAAGGCCCGGGCACAGGCGTCCCCACTGCCTGTGAACACTGTGGACATACAGTGGCACTCTGGACTCTCCCCAGGGACCGCCCCAAACTCACCTCCCCCCACCCCCCCCACCCCCGCCCCAGAAAGGGACTTGGCCTGAAGCAAAGCCCAGACCCGCTGGGGGTCACTAGCAGGCTTCTGCTGGACTTCTGGCCTAGAAGGCTGTCACTCCCCATCCGGCCGCCCTCCATCATAACCCAGTCCTGTGCGCCCCTCCAGTGCATGACAGATCTCTGGGCCCCGCCCAGGGCTCCCAATCCAGGGAGCCACGGACTCCACTTCTAGCCAGTCTGGTGATGTTGCTGGCTCTGGCAGGCTAACTGGAGGAATCACTGTCCTCATCTGGCTCCCCCAGAACCAGCCCTGACCCTGGGACTAGACGCCTCCAGTTCGCACGGCAGGCACTCCAGGAAGTATCTCGGAATGGGGACTCACAGGAAGGAAGCCACATGGCATATTACTGTGTGGCTAGCGCCCTGGGGAGAAGCTGTAGACCCGTTGGGATGCAAGGACACGGGGCTGTTTACCCACCAACACCTGCGAGCCACCAGAGAGGGCACCCGTGAGGACGCCAGTTCCCAGCCCTCTGAGGGCTGTGCAGCAGGAGCCCTCCAGAAGGGCAGCTGCCCAGTGCCCCACACTCACACGCAGCCAGGGCCAGGCCAAAGGCAGCACCTCTCTGGGGCGGCTCCCTGGTTCACTATTCCTCACCCACTCCTGCCTTCACCTGCCTTTCCCAGCCTCTCTGTTACAATTCCAGGGTGAACGTGCAGTTTTGTTGCTGGGTTTCTTTGGCTCCTCTCCTGCCTCCTCACACAGAGAGGGTCCAGAAATCCAGAGTGCCACTGGGCACCCCGTGAGGGGAAGAGGGTCAGGAGTAAAGTCTAGTCATCCTGTTGTTGGCAAAGACCAAGAACCAAGCTCTGTCCATCGCATTGGGCAATAGGTCAGGCCACCAAGAATGACTTCAGCTCATGGTCCATGCCACCTGAGGCCAAGGGGAGGGGAGGCGCTCCAGGTGACAGTAGGCCGCACTTGCTTTTCAATTAGAGATCCTGACTGAGCAGAGCCAGGACCACACTTAGAGGCCTGGATACCAGAAGAAGGAAAAACTACACCTAAACCCTGAGGACACATCAGGCTGTTTTCAGAAATGCACATTTCTCTTCATCCAGCACCTTCTCTGTGTGGCCAACTTGATTTCCTACTGTCTCTTCCCTCCCATTTCCCCTCTCCCAGTGCTAGGGTCCAGCTCCGCAGAGGGCCGGCTGCTGCTGTGCCTGTCCAGGGGCTGCTTGTGGAATGGTGAAGGTCACAGATGGTGAAAGGTGATGCTGGGGAGGAAGCAGGGAAGGGCTGGGAGAGGACTTGGGGACCTGGGAGCAACAACTGGGAGTATGGGGAGGATGGGCTAATTTCCTGCACTGCCTTTTCTCAGTGTGCCTGGAGTGTAGACAGAGCCTGCAAGGCCCAGATGTGTGACAATTTGAGACCTGTGGGACAGACAGGTCTCCCCAGCAAGTCATTCTGCCTTTCTTTCTTTCTACTCATTTCCGCAGCAATGTCCCAAAAGACTGACTCAGCCTGTCTTGCAGACACAGTGGTCAAAAAGCTATACTCAGAAGTCTCTGCGTGGGGCCTCCAGGCCATCTTAAAAGAACCTGCTTAGCTAGAAGATAGAGCTTTTTTTTTTTCCCTCTCTCTTCACCCCCACTGCCCCTCACTTCTTCCTGCCTGCCTAAAACATGACATGATGGCTGGTACCCCAGCAGCTATCTTGAACCATGATTCTCCATTAAAGACAGAAGGAGGAAGCAACTGAGAGAAGGGATTCAGATGCCTCGTGACTTTGTGGGGAATGGGGTTGCCCATTCCATCCTAGACCTCTAGTCTTTGAAAGTCTTTTATCTGAGAGAAAATAAACCATGACCTCATTTAAACTTCCATTTTTTGTGAATTTTTCCATAGTCAAACCTAAGACTGAGTGAGGCCAAACCCACGGGCCTTGAGTCTGGCTGGATTAAAGGGTGTCACTGTCTCACCTGGAGAATTAGAATGTGTTCTTGACCCCAGGACTTTTGAACATTCAGGTCTTCCCACATTCCTGTAAAGGGGGGAGGAGCCCCAAGGCCCTATTTGGGTCTTTGCAAAAAGCAGGAGGAGCGTGTCACTGGAGGCCCTAGTGCTGCCTTTGGGTGCCAAAGACCCTCAACAGGCAGCCAGGGCACTGTGAGGGAAATCACTCAGGCAGGACAGAGGCGGAAGGACAAGTCAGGAGAGAGGAGGGTTTGGGGGCGGCAGGGGCCAGGTCACTTACGGGTGCCTGCGTGGTACTTGAGGGTGCTCACGCTGTGCCTGTGGGCTGGGAATGTGCGCACACAGTCCCCAGTGTCGGTCAGCCAGCACTTGACAGTCCTGTCGGCACTGCCCGAGTATAGGAGCCGGTCCACGAGCTGGAGGAGCAGCGGGGAAGGGTTGGCCCACCAAGCGTGCCAGTCTTGGCAGCCAGGCCACCCCAGATCCCTCTATGACAGTGCTGAGATGGTGGGTGACACCAAAAGGCCCCAGAGGCCCCACTGGAGAGCCCACTTCAGTACCCCAGGGTAGCAGCCTGCCCTCTTAACAGGGCAGGGTGGGCACAGGAGGCAGAGACCCCAGCCCTGAGGCAGAGCCGCTGCCATCTGCACCCTGCTGTAAACAAGGCACTGACCACAGTGCTTTACCCACAGACACCAGCAGCAGGAGGAGAACAGACCACCCACACAGCACCGACCATTTCCCATTGTCACAGCTGAGAAGGGGGCTCCCAGAAAAGGGCCTCCACACAGGACTCTCACTTGCAGAAGGGCAAGGAGAAAGAGCTAAAACACCATGACCGACTGGGTTGAGTGTGGGAGGTGGACTCAGCAAGCCCCAAAGACAGGCTTGTCCCAGCCATCTACGGGTGCCGGACTGGCAGGAAAGGAAAGGCCCTGTGAGATGAGGGGGCCCTGACAGGATGGACGGGTGCACCAGCTCAAGAAGTGCACCCAGGAAGACTATGAGTGAAATGCTGTGACTTCCCCTGGACCAAATGTCAGCAGAGACATGGACGAGAAGCCCAGGACAGGTGGACAGCTCCGATGCAGTCACCTGGGGTCACTGATAGCCCAGGAGCCAAGAGCCCTCAGCCAGCACTGCCAGGGCCCAAGGGCCAGGAAACAGAAGTAGATCTGGCATCCAGGGCCCTTCTCTGGGGGGAAGCCAACGGAGGGCCACTCATGCTGGCCACTGGGCATCCTTAACCCATCTCTCCTATCCACCCTCCATCTGGTCACACCCTGGGCCACTTTCACTTCAACTCCATAGGTTGACTCAGTTTCCTCGTATTACCTCCCTCTCCAAATCCCAGAGGGCAGGGCTTCAAGTAACCCGCCTCATCTTGCCACCCTGGCCACAGTCAAGGTCAAACGCCTTGGCCAATCTCTGTGGCTAGAGAAGATGGAACCTTTTTATCCTCTGGGGTACACAGTGTGACTGCTCCTGGAAGCAAGGCTTCTGGGTAGATCCTGTGGAAGGTCACCGCATCTCGTAGTCCTGCTCTGACCTCTTGCTTGGATCACCTTTGGCCTCAGTTGGTGTAGCCTCCTGAGTCGACCAGTCTACTTCCAAGGGAACCAAGCTAGCTTCTGCAGGATTCCAGAACACTTGCACTCAGACCTCTGACTGCCTGCACCACCCAGGAGCACAGTTCCTGACAGCTACAGGGCTTTCACTCTGAAGATGGTGACCGAGCAGCCGCACTGCTGAGGACGAAGGGAAGTCACTCCTGCTCCCCAGACAGCCTATCCTGTTGATGCAGGGCCTGTGGCCACTAGGCTTGAAACTGACCACCAGCACACTCTCAAAGCCCAGACCTTGAGCCACCATGGGCCGGGGCTGAGCTGTGAGCACCGCCCTAGGCCAGCTCTTCACCTTGGTCGGCCCTCTGACAGGACGCCCGTGGGAGCAGCAGAGTGGCTGAGGAGGGGAAAGGAGATCCCAGGTAGATGGGTAAGCGAGTCAGACTCTGACAGGAAGAGCCAAAGGGCCTCGTCACAAAAGCCAGGACCTATGAGACTCTTCCCAAGGCAGGATCCATCAAAGCAGACAGCAGGACAAGGTTCCAGGCCCAGCTGTGCTCTGAGGTTCCTGGCGAGTGGGCCACCACCTCCCTTCAGCTTGGGCAGTGCAAAGAGAAGCAGCTGGCCAGGCCACGAGCAAGGCTGGGCTTCAGACGGCAGTGAGAACTGAGATCCTGCTCCAGAGCAAAACGTCAGAAGAAGCCCCCTGCTCAGCCTGGTGTGGGGAGCCCTTTCCACCTGCACAACTGTCTTCTACTCTTGCACCTGCCAGCCAGCTCCTGCAACTCGCTTTGGAGATGTCCTGTCCTGGGTTCGAATCCTGCATCTACCCCTTGTCTGCAGTGAAGCCATGGGCAGTGACTTGTCTAGTTTGTTTACTCTGGGTAGCAGATAATCTCCCCCCAGCAGGTGTCCTGAGGACAAATGTCCCAGGCACAGTGTGCTCACAGCTAGCACTCACCTGAAGAGACTCAGCCCTGTGGGGCTGGTGGAACAGGGCTTTTGCAAGCAAAGCCTGCTGCGGGGACCCAGCAGTGCCTCTCTCTTCTCTAGCCCAGTGCCTCAGCTGGGCTGCTATGGGCGGTTTTGTTGTTTCCCTGTACTGGGGACTGAACCCAGTGCCTCCACTTTCCACTTAAGCTACATCCCTAGCTTTTAATTTGTTTTTCAGATAGGGTTTCAAGCTAACTTTGCTCAGGATGACCTTGAACTTAAGGCCCTACTGCCTCCACCTCCCCAGTAGCTGGGATTACAGGCATGTACCACCACTCCTGGCTTATGGTTTGGATCTTCAGTGTCCTCCAGAGGCTCATGTATAAAAGACTTGGTTCCCAGCTCTCGGTGCTACTGGGAGTGGTGGAACTGTTAGGAGGCTCCTTTATTCATGTTTTATTTCTTTAGAGGCAAAACATTAACCTTTGATTTCAAGAGTGCATTCCTCTGTGTGTTTTACTGTTCTTTATACTTTACATTTGAAAAGTTCCATACTTGAAGTTTTTAAACCATACTCCTAACACCACAAAGGGACAGGAAAGACATGCCATCTGCCTCCTTCACAAGGCCCCCCGGGTTAGGCCCAGAAGCCTCAGGGGTCAGGGGCCACTGTATACTGGGAACCTCATGTCTTTTTTAGTTGGAGGCCTTGTCACTGTCTGGCCAGTTCAGAGCCCAGATGTAAATGGGAATCCCTCTGCCTTCTCACCCTCTCCACCTACAGCCCTGCCCCCACATACTCCAGCAAGTTGGGGGGTCAGTGTGGGGCCCACTGTTCCGGGCAAGATTCTCACGCCACTTTCACAAGTGCCGTCTCCAAATCTCACGGCCCCTGGAAGACCAGGAGGGCTGATGTCACCACCAAAACCTGCAGGTGAGGAAACCGGGACCCGGAAAGTATGAAGCCTGGCAGAATGGACTGCCCCAAAACGTGCTGCCTTGGCATAAGGATGGCTTTGAGTTAAAGGCACGTGAAAACCAGCAGGTGCAAAGTGCTGACTCTCTTTTCTCTCCTTAAAGAGATGAAACTCCAGGCTCAGGGGGAAGAAACAAACATTCTTATCACCAAACACAGCAGTTTCCTCAAGGCCCAGGTAAACAGGCTTTGGTGGTTTTGTTTTTTTGAGACTGTGTCTTGTTCTATAGCTCCTGTCTCTGCCTCCTTAGTACTGGGGTTACAGCATTTACCACCCCCCCCCCCCGCTCAAATAGGCCTTGTTAATAAACTCACTTTTCCTGTCTGATCACCTCTTCAGGACTATCTGCCCTGGCCCAAGTCCATCCATCTCAACACATTTTCACAATTTCCTCCTTTTCACCCAACTTAGTATCCATTTTCCTGAGAAAGCTCCCATTGCTGCGATCCAAGTGTAACCCCCAAAAAAGCAGGGACTGAAAACTTAATCCCCAATGCAATAGTGTTGGGATGGGGTCTAGTGGGAGGTGTTTAGATGGTGAGGGCCCCATGAGTTTTCTCGGACTCTCTCCTCCCCCCTCCCTCACTGACCTTCCCCACGGGATGGGTAACTGGGTAGTGACTGGGCAGGCCTCACCTCCAGACAGATGACGGAACCCTGGTGCTCCCGGAAAACCCGCAGCTGCTCCCCACTCAGGATGTCCCAGGCACGGATGGTGGCATCTGTGCTGCCTGTGAAGGCTGTGTGGCCGGGCACGTCCAGCACCAGGCACAGCACTGCTCCTGTGTGGCCCCGCAATGTCTGGTGACAGCAGCCACTGGCCACCTGCCACACCTTGGCCGTTCCATCTGTGCTGCCGGTCACTAGGAGCCCCCCTGTGCTAGCAGCCTCCAGGCAGGGAGCACCAGAGAGGTCCTCAGGGGCGGAATAGGCCAGGGTCAGCACGCAGTTGTGGTGGCCACGAAACTCCCGGGACACCTGCCCCTTGTCCACAGCCCAGACGCGTGCTGTCCGGTCGTAGGAGCTGCTGAAGAGCTGGTTATTAGCAACCAGGATCCTGCAAGCAAGAGGGGAAGGGACAGGGCTGCAACACTCAGGATGTCAGAATCCACAGTCCCCATGAGGTAGCCTCAGCACTGCAGCTGGCATAGCCTCTACAGCCCACCACACTCACCTTCCAAGGTCCAGCTCAAAGTGCCCTGCCTCCCGGAAGCCACCCGGATGCCCTCTCCTTCCCAGAGATGCTCCACAGAGTCAGAGAGGAAACAAGGAGGGAGGGGACAGGTGGGTGGCCCACCCTCCCTTTTTGCTCATAGTACAAAGGTTGCTGGTGACACAGGACTTTCCATTAAAAATCAGGACTACGTGGGACCAGCTGGCAATAGCTCAGACCTAAGTGGCTAGCAGGCACATTTTGCAGTGAGAGCCCTGGGGAGGCTGCAAGGAATTCAAAAGCCCTTCTTGCCACTCTGGCTCCAGAGTGTGCCCAGAGTATCCCATATCAGGCAGTCAGACAGAGCCGCAGTGGCGGGACAGCCCTCTGATGTCAACTCTCATGGTGAGCCCTACCCAAGCACTACCTGGAGACCTGCAGCTCCAGGGCACAGCCCCCATGGGGCTCCAGGCGCACAATGGAAGGGGCCGTAGGGAACTTTGGGTAGGGGAGCCAGGAGGGTTTCACTCAGTGGAACCGGTTGGCCGCAGACAGGAGGCTTCCTGAGGTAAATATTCACGAGTTACTGATTCTGCTGAATGCTACAAACTTCTCCCCCAGAAAACAGAACCTCGTTAAGAAGTCCTGCACCCCCAGGGAGGAGCCACAAAGGGCTGAGGCTATAGCTGCGGTTAGAATGGAGTGCAAGGCTTAGCCAAGGGTCAGGACCCCTTCTGCATCAGGAATGGTGACGCTCTGGGGACAGGGGCACTGGAGCATGACTGAATCCTGCCTAGGCATGGTGCAGTGTGTAATGGCAAGGATGCCAGGCCACTGAGGCACCAGCGTCCCAGATGCTCACAGACATGACCCAGCCCTGACAACCCCAAAGGAAGTGAGTCCCAGGTCCTCACCTCACACCCTTCACCACTTGGGAATGCTGTCACCTAACTGTGCAAATATCTGCCTGGAGCTTGGGTTTACAACAGCCACCTATGGATGAGAGCGGGTGTATGTGTGCTTCTGCGTGTGCATGCGGTCCTGTGTAAGTATGGGTACATACTGCATGCATGTGTACGTGTGCTCGTGTAGACATGTGTTTATATGTATGTTGTGAGTTTACATGTACGTGCACCCTGTGTGTGGGGGTATATGCTGTGTACTCGTGTGCATGTGTGAGCTCATGTGGGTAGCATGTTGCCTGTGCGCGTGTAGCATGCACACATGTATGTCTGTGTATACATGCGTTTATGTGTACATTGTGAATTCGTGTGTGTGCATGTGTTTGTGTATACATGTTTGTATGTGTATGTGAGTTCATGCACGTGCATGCTGCCTATGCATGTGTGTACAGATATATGTTGCGGGCCCATTTGTATGTGTGTTTGTATATAGGTGTATTCGTATGTATGTGTGAGTTTGTGGGCATGTGTGCCTATGGTCTGTGTGTATGGGTATATGCTGTATGCAATGTGCACCTGTGTGTGAGTGCATCTGGATTGTGTTCGTGTGTGCAAATGAGTATATGTGAACACTGTGTGTAAACAGGAGACTAAACCTGGCAAGGCCTGATTTCCATCTTACATCATCCAGTTCTGCTTCTGAGAAGCTACTGAGTTTCCTGATCAGCAACCTGGCGACAAGGTGGTCACGTGAGGACATGGCCTTGTCCCAAGGCCTATCATGGCCTTGTGCTGACTCCACACTTCCCCTCAACCACAAAATTCTTGCCAGGAAGAGGCCCGTGTGAGCTGTGAGACCTGCATTCTCCTTTTACACCCTTCTCCACTACCTCTTGTTTGCTGGTCACCTCCACTGCTCATGGAAGGAAGGACAACAGCTGCTGGAGGCATGGGCTGGCTGGACACACCACTGGCTGTCCCAGTGAGGCACCTGGTACTACAGCAAGCTGGATGACCCATGTGCCTGCTGGTTTTGCCCAACATGCTTGAAGCCATGCAGCGGCTGGCAGGCTCTGACTGCAGCTCATCCTCCCCTGTGTGCCCGCCCATCCCAGCCCTCAGACCCTCCCAAGCCAATGAAGCCACAAGGGCCATAGGACCAAGGCTCCCTGTACTGGGTCTCTCCTGTACTGGGGTGATCATCACAAACTACAAAAGTAGTGTCAAATCGATCTGATCAGCAAAGGAATTCCACTGCTTAGCTCCAGCCCAAATTCAATAAGGAAAGGAAAAAATTCAGCCAGGAAAGAAGGGGCTGGGGACTTTCAGCAGCCACATGGGAGGGATGTTTAAAAACATCCCTACTGCATCTTCCAAGTGATCCCCTTCCTCCTCTGGACCTTGGTCTACCATCAGGTACCAATTACTCAAGTCTACTGTCCCCATGAGCGCATGGTGCAGCTGCAGCGTCCCCTCCCTGCACCCAGCAGGGGCAGTCAAGGTGCCCTGCTCCCCAGGGGGTGTTCAGGACCAGTGCAGTGTTGCAAGGTCTCCCAACCCCGTGGCCTGGGGCAGTCAGCTCTGGTCAAGGCAGGGCCCTGCATCTCTGATCCCTTCATCCAGCCAAGTGTCCTGACAAGACTGAGTCCAAGGCCCCAGGCAAACTGACCTGTTCACAATGGACGTGTGTCCCCGGTACACCTGCAGACACTGCCCAGTCAGCACATCCCACCTCCTGATGGTACAGTCGGCGCTGCACGTGAAGGCGGCTTCCTCCTCCAGCTGGCAGAAGGTCACGTAGCTCTCATGTCCTACAGACAAGAGATGATATTGGAGAGAGATGGCAGAGGGCAGGGAAACAAGTCAGGAAGAAAAGAAAGTAGTTCTTTTTTTTTCCTTTTTCTTTCTTTTTTCTTTTTTGGAGGCAGGGGCTCACTATGTAGCCCAGGCTGACCTGGAACTCACTGTGGCCCAGGCAAGACCCTGCTGCCTCGACCTCCCAAGGGCTGGGATCACAGGCATGCACCACCACACCCAGCAAGACTAGTGCTTTCAAAATGACGGTTTTCAGTCTGCGAGACGCTCAGGATCATGGGGTACCTGGAGCAACACAGGGACGCTCACCCTCCCTCTGAGACCTGTTCTCCTTCCCTCAGCTTCCTTTTGTTTTCAAGGTTTTCACCTTTGTGTTCTGCAAACCCGATGCTAGGGGACAGGACGTACAGAGGACGGTTGGGCAGGATCTGGATGGCTGCTACTGACTGCCCTGGCATGTCTCCTTCCACCTCTGTGGCCCTTTTCCCTCACCTGAAACGAGGATAGTGACAATACCCACCTGACAGGCCATCGTGTAGACTGAGTTACAGTGGCAGGACACGTAGTATGAGTTACATGTGGTAGATGCTGTGTACAGTTTTTCTTACGTTTGGGCAGGATTCTGTGGAAAGCAGCAACAGCTCCACTACTATCAGACTGCCATGAAAGATGACCTTACTCAGAAAAGGGTCTGAGCAGATATGACTAAATTGATGGATGTTAGTTTGCAGATGACCCTGATTATCTGGGTGGACCCTGAACATCCTTACAAGGGAGGCAGAAGGGAAGCACCAAAGAAGAGGTGGAGGCAGTGAGTGATGCGGCCACAAGCCAAGGAATGCCAGCCGTCACCAGCCACTGGAAGAGGCAAGGAATAGATTATCCCCTACAGGGATACTTATGGGTGCTGACACCTTGATTTCTGACTTTTGGCCTCAGGAACCATGCAAGAATGAACTGCAATTATTTCAAGGGATTAAGTGTTTCAAGAACACTGACACAAGACAGACGAAGACACCTGCCTTCAGAGAGCCTCAGCCCAGGAGGAAAGTCATTGAGTACCTACCAACTACAGTCAAGAGGCTCAGCTCACCATGGGACAGTGGCTGGACAGGGCAGGGCTTGAGTGCTGAGGATCCAGAAAGTTCTACAAGGAGCAGTCAGGGAAAGGAGAAGCACGTGAATCAGGCATGCTGCAGTGCTTGGTGGAAAAGGCCCAGGCAGCCAGCAGATGTCAGGGGCTGGGGTCTAACAGTGGAGGATGAGCAGAGCCTGGGAATCTGACCAGCCCAGTAGCAGGTCCTGAGTTCTACCTTATGGGTGCCATGGCTACAGACATTCACTATGGCCCTGGCGGGGGTTAGCGTTCATGCCCAGCTCCTTATTAAGGAGCCCTTGAAGCCCTCAAGGTCTCTGATCAGGATAAAATTGTTCCAGCTGGGAGAGCAACCTTTGACCCTGTGCACCAGAGGAATTTGAGGACCAGAAAATCAACAGAATTGAAGGAATGTGAGAACTGTTTTACAGAGGGATGGAGCCCACATATTTGGGGGTGTTTATTACATTTAGGATCTTATTTTAAAGACTTTTAAATCTTATTTAAAATTCAATTAAATCAACAAAAGCCAGGAGTGGCTAGTGAGCAACAGCACCTCTGCTCCATGCAACCATTACCACCATATAAGGCTTGCTGCAGACTTGGGATGAGGAGGATTTGGGTTTTGTTTTTGGTAGTTCTGGGGTTTGAACTTAGGGCTTTGGGATTAGCTAGGCAGGTGCTCTCCACAGTCCTTTTTTCTATGGTTACTTTTGAGATAGTCTCTTTCTTTTTGCTTGGGCCGTCTGGACTGCAATCCTATTTATGCTTCCTGTAGTAGCTGGGATTACGGGTATGTACCACCGTACCCAGCTTTTTCTTTTGAGTTTCTCTGGAACTTTTTTCCAGGCTGGTCTAGAACTGTGATCCTCCTGCTGTCAGCCTCCTGCGTGGTTGGGATGACAGAGATGTGGAAGAAGTTTTTACTCTTCGTTTTTAAAACATGGCTGGTGTCAGCACAAGAGGGATTTTAGAATCTCCTGAGTGGTGTTAAGATGATTGAATTTTTTTTTTTTTAGGTCCTGAGTTAAGCTTAGTTACTCTTGGAAGGAAATCAACTTCCTGGGTTCTAAGAAACAGAATTAAAACAACGTTTTCCACTCGTCTTGGAGCGCACACACCAGGCTGCTCTGAAAACAATGCAGGATTAGGATCCCTTAAAATCCACATTGGCAAAAAACGTGAGGGCAAATGTGAGAGCCCAGATTTCTGCCAATACTAAAAAATTTATAAAATATTTTAAGATTGTCAACAAACATTCCCTGAAATCATCTCTCTCCCACCCTCCAAACTGCTGTAGGGGGTGCTGAGCACAGAGTTCAAGGTGGAGCCACTTTGGGGTCTCTAGAGGGCTGGGGAGACCCCACGGAGGGCAGCCAACATGTGCCAGGCCAACCAGGTACTGGATTTGCACAGGTATCTCCTCAAACGGCCCCCTAAGGACTGTGTTCCAAGGCTGGCTGAGGCCAAGAGAGGCTAATCCAAGAGGGCCCAGCTGCTAACAACTCATCCACATGGCAGGAAGGTCAAATGCAGGGGTGAGCTGTAAATTAAACCAAGAAAATCAGGGGAGCTTAAGTGTGGCTAGTGAGCCACCAAGCCAGGGCTGCTGAAGGCTTGAGGTGTTGGGACCGCCTTACACCACGTGGAAAGAGAAAAATCAGATTCAAAATCAGTAAAAAATGTAAATGCTCACACAGCCTGGGAGAAAAGAGGTAATAATGACGAGAAGTCAACTGCGTCCTAGCCCCGAAGTGTTTCAATGTAAAAAGCGTTCTCATCCCTGAACTGGAGCCAGGCTGACCCACAGCCCTCTCTCTGTCTTCTAGTCAGAGCCAGCCAGAAGCAGGGCCCTTTCTGGCGCCACCATGTGGCACAGCCCTGACCCCCATAACCCAGATTCCACACGATCCCAGACAGGCCAGCCCCAGGCCGGAGGGGGTCACCCCAGAAGGCGGCCAGCCCCAGAGTCCTTCATGCCTCCAGGGACCACAGTGGTCGGTCTTAGCTGTTGGAATTGTGCAGAATAAGCATAAACGCCAAACTGAAAATAAATATTTTCAAAGGGATGAAGAATGTAGATAAGATGCAGTTCCATCCAAAAGAACGCACGGCAGCTCCCCGGTTTCCTGCCCAGACAGCGGCCTTGCCTGCCTTCCTACACAACCGGCCTTGCTGAGCGAGCTCTGAGGCCCAGCTGCTTCCTCACACCCAGGACAAGTGGCCCAGACTGGGGCTGCAGGGGACCCCAACCGGAATATGCATTGGATGCAGCATGAAATGTAAAAAATGCCTTCTTTTCCTCCTGGTGACAGCAAAACAACTGATCACTCCAACAACCACATGGTGACAGGAATGACACCATGTACTTGGTCACGTACTTACTCCAGCCTAGTATGCTAAGGGGGAATAGTGACCTGTGGAGAGGACCATCTGTCCACCAGCAATGATAAAGGAGGAGGCTGCACTCCACTAACTCCAGTTACGAAACTGTAGCTCTTGCAGGAAGAGCTACGACTTGCCTGGCAAACCCCGCCACCCCCCGGGGACCAACCCCTGTTGCCTCCATCCATCCCACCCCTTGCACAAATGTCCCAAAGATACCCAGCAAAGCCTCTGGCTCCTGACTGCCTCTGCTTCGAGAATGGAGAAAGAAAACTGTCTTCAGAGGAAAAGTGCATGATGCGTTGTCAGTCCTGGCCACTCTGCCCAGCAGATCCAGGACTGGCCAACCAACAAGCTTGAATTTGGAGGTTTCTGTGGGCCTGGAGCTGTACAAGGGTTCACCCTTCACAAGAGGAAGGATGCCTGGGTTGCAAGGCAGAACCTAGGGATTGGAACTGCCTCTGGCTGGCCACATGGCCTGGGCACAACTTCCCATGCAGCAGTGTCCCAGTAAGAGCAGCATCCACACAGGCAGGCTGCCATGACCAGTCCATATGACCTTGGAAAAGTCCCATAGTGCGCTATGCACTGTGGGGTGGCGGGAAATGTTGAGGCCACACCTAAGGGAGGTATCTAGAAAATACTCACTGTAGAAAATACTGGCTGTGTGTCAGTAAATAAGTCTGCACCTCCCCATTCTCATCCATAAAACTGGTATAAATTCCATCTAAACTCAGTTGTGAGGATTAACCACACAATAAAGAAGTACCAGAATGTACATTTATAAAATGTGAGGTATGAAACAAATGTGCGCACATCTTACTAATATTTCACTGAGAAAAAAAATCTTTTAGAAGGAAGGGCTGGCAAGACCATGCTTTCCTTGGGGGCCACACAAAGGACTACGGCATACCCATGGTGACTCTTGCAAGTGAAATCTATAAGTAGGATAAAGAAAAGCTACCTCTGTCCCCTCTGTCCTTGAAAAGTTTTGAAATGCCAACCTTCGTAAGAACAGAAGCAAGCAGAGTTCCCATTCAAGTTTCCTCCAGTGGGGATGGCCTTCAACCAGGGCAACTCAGACCCCTCACTGGAAAAGAGCATGGCAGTGCCTTACAGGGGCAAGTAGCTGTCAGAGCCATCAATGCAGATGCTAGACACAAAGCTGGGCATGAGGGTGGATCCTGGAAGCTTGGTTGGACTCCAGAGCTGGAGCAAGCCAGTGCCCACCAGGCCACAGTCGGCCTGGAAAAGCCTGGAGCTCCATGGCGGAGAACTCCACCTGACATGTGGGGTGGGCTGTGCATCAGAGTCACCAGAAAGCCTGTTAGACATGCTAGTTCCATACCAGGTTCACACCTGTAATGCTAGCTACTCAGGAGGCAGAGATCAGGAGGATCACCGTTTGAAGCCAGCCCAGGCAAATAGTTCACGAGACTCTATCTTGAAAATACCCAACACAATACAGGTCTGGCAGAGGGGAAAAAAAAAAGAAAAAGAAATGCCAGTTCCAGGGTTCTGTTCCTGGGGGATCGCTGGAGCCCAAGAATTTGCATTTCTGAAACCCCTCCAGTTGGTCTTATATTTAAGAAGCAATACAAGCTGGATTTAAAAATTCTAACAGACCTCAGCTCTTCTCTTCCTATGTGGGTGCCTGTCAGTGTGTGAGACTGGGGAAGAGGGAAGGCATGTGTATTGGTTTGTGGCCAATTTACTGTTATCCACACCAAATCCCAAGTAACTGGGAATCCAACATTGGTCCCTACTGGGCTCTGAAATAGCTACCTAAAACTTTTGCTTGAAACCAAGTGTTAAGATCAGCCAATTTTGAGGTTAACATCTTATCCCAGCTAGAAGGGCTGCATGAGGCCACCCAGGATTTGCTGATTATGGAGAAAAAGCCACTGTGATTAAGAGGTGTATCCAGTGCACAGGCCCCGCTGCCTCTTCAGGGTGCTGTCATTGGGACACTGCTGGGAGGGACCCCCAAATCCACACTGAACTCAGAAGATACTCTCCCCAGAATGAGAACACAGATAGGCGCCAATAAAAGTGTCATGGAGTTACATTTGTTACTGCATGTGACACTCCATACTTCCTCTCCGCCACAAACATGCACACACATCAACACCCTAAGAAACTGGGATCAACCACACCCTTCATGATTTCCTTTTGACACAGCTGCGATGAGGCCACAGAGTTGGTCAAGGTAGTGGACAAGAGGGAATGAGTCCAAATTTCAACGTCACCCCTCAGTGGCGGTGGGGCCCTGGGCAAGATCCTGATCTCAAGCCTCAGTTTCGTGTCTGTACGTGGGTAAACAACGTGAAGGCACCCAAAAGACACAACATTGTCACCACAGTGGCCCTGGAGAAAATGTCTTTCTAAAGGTGGCCAGGTCAGGCAGTGACACAGGAAGTCGTTCTTGGGAAGGGTATAGGTGTGACTTCTTTTCTGTTTTCTAATGGTGCAGCCGTTGACCAACGACCTGGCCTCAGCCGCAGCCCCTGAGCCCACCGCACCCCAGCACCCCCGGCTCCTCACCCTGCTCCTCCAGGACAGTGTGGGATCGCAGGGGCTACACTCTCAGAAAGGGGTCTGCGGGCGGAGGAGTGAGGTCCACATTCTGGGGCAGACGGCCAACAGGCCAGGGAGGGTCGCTACCTTGCAGGAGCGCGCAGCACTGGCCGTCCGCGGTGCTCCAGAGCCGGGCCGTGCCGTCCTCGCTGCCCGTCAGCAGGCGCTGCCCGTCGGGGCTCAGGCTCAGCCAGTTGATGCCCCCGCGGTGGTCGGCGCAGACCCTCAGGGCCGACCCGCTGCCCCCCATCCCGCCGGCCTGGTTAGCCGAGAGGAACTACACCCCACAAGACAGGGGTGTCCTGCGTCCGCTCGGCGGCTCCATGGGGCCGGGCCTGCCCGCGGCCATCGCAGGGGGCCGGGACGCCCCGCTCCTGCGGACGGTCGCCTGGGACCCTAGCTCTCCGCCGTCCACTGGCCCCCGTGCCCGCAGGCCCCGCGGGGGGGGCGCCCCCACCGACTGAGAGCCCCAGGTGCGCGGGCGCACACCGCCCCTTCTCGGGACCCGCTCGGAACACGCACACCCCACCCGGCCGGCGGGGCAGCAGCGTCTCGGGGCGCGCAGGGAGGCGCCCCCTCTTTTCGCGCCCACGGAGACCGGAGTGGACAGAGGAACCCGGGAAGCGAGCGCCCCGCGCGCCCTCCCGGGCCGGTGCCGCGCGCTCGGAGCGACCGGGCGCGGAACAATACAGTGCAGCCTGGCTCCTCCTCAGAGGCCACCCCCTAACCTGTCCCCTCCCACTCCTCTGGCTGCGCGCCAGCGCCCCTGCCGCAGCCCTCCCTCGCCGTCCCCCGGGGCTGACCTCCGCCCGCCGCCCCCGATCCCGCCCAGGGGACAGCTCCACGTGCCACCCCCACCCTCCGGACTCCCCAAGCTGCGCCTCGGAGCTCTGCCCCCTGTCACACCCGCCGGTGCTGACTCCAGAACCTAGGGTCGGGACAAGGGAGGACCAGGTGGACGGAAGGGTCCAGGTACTTGGGGACGGTCCCCCCGGTGGAGGCGCGACAGGGCTACTCCTGAGATCGCCCTCACTGGGAAATCGCGCGCACCCCGAATTCTATCGAAGTCCCTCCAAGGGGAGGGGCGGCCACGAGGCCGCTGGGGCTGGGGCGGGAGCCGGTGGGAGGCTGAAGGCCGGGTCTGTGAGCTCCGGGGGAGGTCAGGTTCACTCCTCCCCCGTCATCACCAGCCCCACGATCCCTCGGCTGGGTGACCCACTGAGGTCTACAGGAATCCCACACCGGGCGCGCAGCCCTCCCGGAGCGCGCGGTCTGCTGGTTCCCATTAGAGCAGTTCCGGTGCAGACTTCGCTGGGGGTGGGGAGGGTGACCCCCTCACACTCGTATCCTCCAGGTCCTAAAGGTAGCATTGTTTCTGGAGCCCTCCAGGACTCTGAGCAGTTCAGGGTTGGGGAGCCAGTTCATTAGGGGGCAACCTGACCTCCTCGCTCTGACTGACCCCGTCAGATTCCAGGAAAACTCGAGAATGTCTCCCACAAGGCAGAGCTGGCTTTACTCCCCGAGTGGCCCAACCAAAGAAATCCATTCTTTTTCCCCAAAACTTGTAAATCAGCTTCCACCTCAGCTTAAAGAGCCTGGAGCTTACTTCACAGGCACTGGGAGCCCGTGGAGGGTTTTACTGGGCGTTTTGATGGAACCTGGAGTGATGGAGGAAGCCCGGTGGAGGTGGGTTGAGTGACAGCAGACTACTGGAGGCTGGGGAGGTAGCTGAGTTTTGAGATGCCTCTACTGGCTGATCCTAAGTTCCTCCAAGACTGAACTTCAGGGGGCCTTTGCACCATTCAGCTCTGAAGACTTGGGCAGCTGGCTACACAGGTGTGGCTGCCAAGTGAGGTCACCTGGGCAGAGGGAGGTGGGAGTCATGGGTATCTCAGAGCAGCAGCCTAGGTAGGAGGAGGCAGAAGGAGTGAGGAGATCAAGATGGGGACAGAGGGCTAAGGAAACCTGAAACCCAGAGGGAGACTGTTGAAAGGAGTGGGGGAGCTTCCTAGGCAGAGTGGCACAAAAGAAGAAAAAACTTTTTGGATAGCCAGCTTGCCTGATTGTCAGTTTACTCTGTTTCTTGATTAAACTAACTTTCTTTCTCTCTTCGTCTGATTGCTGGAGAATCCAGTAACAAAGATTAACTTCCTTTGCTCTCCGATTAGACCAGGCAGCTCTCTACCCCTTATCTCTCCGACCACCACAGCAGTACACCGCCAGCCAAGACACACAGCTTCAGAGAAGTGGCACTGGACACCTGGAGAACCAAGGCCTGTGGCTGTGATAGACACGCATCTGGTCACACAGTCAAGCTGAGCCCAGGAATTTCCTTTTAAAAGGCAGGCATTTTCTCTCAGAATTGGGGCAACAGTGCTTTGAGAGGTTGACGCTCCCTGTCCTCTGTCTGACGTATAATAAACCTTATTTCTTTTTCCTCAAAACCCTACTCTCCTTATTTGTAAGTTGTGAATTGGCATTGAGACCAGGGGACCAGTTTTCCGATAACAACGTCTGCACACTCAAGGAGCTTTCGCAGCAGTGGGCCAGAGAGGACGACCACGCTGGGGGAAAGTTCAGCTTTCAAGGGGGTCACGAAATATTACGGAGCAAGATGGGGCCCATAGGCTTCTGGCTTCTCCACCAACCGCCAGCAAACCATCACGTCCTTTCTCAGCCTGCAGAGGGTGTTCAAATGCAAGCCCACAGATCTCATGTTGACCTGTCTGCCAGCTGCCTCTTTCCAAGATGAATTTTTTTGTTCTTGCTCTTCTACCCTTATCCTCCACCCTCCCCTCAGCACCACTGGGGAGGGCTATGTCCCCAGCTGTGTGGGTGTGTAGTAAACATTTATTGTCTTGGGTCAGCTTCTCCTCCCTTCTCCTTTGCAGGTTGCAGATTAGCGAGTGCTCCGAAAACTCTCACAGGAGTATCAGATGGGAAAGTTAGAAAGCAGCATCCATTTTCCTGAATCTGGGGTCTCCCCGCTTTGAGATGACAAAGTTATAGAGATCCAGGAGCCAGGCTGGGTCTGCCAGCAAAACTAGGACATCAGTAAATGTTGGTCTCCCTCCCCAATTCCTCCCTTACCTCTCTTCGAGGGCCCCCTGCAAGGGCTTGGACTAGAGTGTACCCAGGTCTCTTTGAGAGCTATGGTGTTACGAATGTAAGATGTCCTGGTTGAGCAGAGGAGGGATCTGTTAAGTTTCAAGGAGGAGACCAAAAATGGGGGGAGAGCCCCAGTGCCAATGGAAGAGACCATTTCTTGCCAAGGAGTGCCCATCCCCAAAGTCACACAAATAGCCAAGATTTCACCGAATGGAAAGAATGACCCTCGGGTACAGAATCTAGAAAAGTAAATGTTCTCAAGATGAGGAGGTGACAGAGGGCAGCTTTGGGGGTGCCAAAGGGAACGTCATAGTCATAACCCTGTCAGAATTGTTCTTTCCCTCCTGGTACCCTGTCATGGGTGAGTGTGACAACCACCATTGTCATCTTCATTTATCGGGTTCTTGCTGAGTGGCAGGTACTGTAAGAGGTGCTGGTATTTTTCAAGAAGATAGAAGCCTTCCTATGTCCGTGAGCCGTTCCTAGGAGAAGAGCTCAGGAATTCCAGAAGGAAACAGGAAGTCCTTGAAGGTTTTCCAAGGAGGGAGGTGAGGGTAGACTACCCATGATGCACTTCAGGCACAGAGGCTAGCTGGAGAAAAGCAAGCAAGAATGAGAAAGGATACCAGGGGTGGGGAGGACTTGAAGGTGTTTAAGATGGGAAGGTTTGGTTGAGCTTAACTATTGCTAAGAAAGAACTCTTAGAAGGAAGTTAGAGATGCAGGAGAGAGGGGGCAGTGGGTGAAGAACACCGAGTCCAGGTGTTACATGGCAAGAACACCTGTCCTTGTGATGAGTGGGAAGGAGGCAGGGTGACCCCCACTTCCAAAGCACCAACCTCCAGCTTCAGTTACTGAAGTGGCAAGTCAAATGGTCATATGAATTCTTGGTAGCAGATTTATGTGGTTTCAATTCAATTGTCCTTTTTACTCTATATCTGAAACATAATAGAGACTGTAAGTTTAAAAACTATACAAAAAGACCATGAAAAATAGATACATTGAACTTTGTGTTGGTCAGCTTTCTGTCACCATTACAAAATACCTGAGGTCAACTTATAAAGAGAAAAGGTTCATATTGCACAGTTATTTGGCCTCATGCCTATGGGCCTGTGGTGAGGTAGCACATTAGGCAGAAGCAAGAGGCAGAGCAAAACCACTCACCTCATCATGAGCTGGGAGCAGAAGAGGAAGGGGAAAGGACCAGAGCCCCATCATCCCCTTCTTACTCAGTGAAGTAGGGACCTCCCCCTAGGCCCCACCCTTAAAGTTCCATCATCTTCTAATAGCATCACCCGGGGTCCAAGCCTTTAGCTTTTGGGGAATATTCAAGATCCAAACTATAACAAACTTCAACAAAATTAAAAAGTGTCAGTGACTCACGCCTGTAATCCTAGCTACTCAGGAGGCATAGATCAGGAGGCTCACAGTTCAAAGCCAGCCCAGGCAAATTGTTTGCAAGACCCTAGCTAAAAAAAACCATCACAAAAAAGGGCTGGTACAGTGGCTCAAGGTGAAGGCCCTGAATTCAAACCTGACTATTGCAAAAAAAAAAAGAAAGAAAAGATAATTCACACAAAATGGGAGATAATCATACAAAGTACTTTTCCGATTCAACAATAAAAGCCAACAATTTTAAAGTGAAAAAAGGCCTTAGATAGGCTTTTTCCCAAAGAAGATACACACGTGGCCAATGATGAGACCCTGCAAATGAAAACACTTCACACCACCGGGATGGGCAAGGGTAAGATGGAATCGAGAATAATAAAAAGGAATGTTGGTGAGTGTGGGGAAAATCCAGCCCCTCGGACACCACTGGGAATGCTGAATGGTGTGACGCTCTGTGGGTACACGAACTGTGAACTGTAGTTTCCATGTGATCCAGCAACCCCACACGAGAATTATTCGTGAGAGCCAAAAGATAGAACGAGCCTGAATGCTCACCGACTGCTGAGTAGATCGGCAAAATGAGGTGTGCCCACACAATGGAGTATTGCTCAGCCGTAAACAAGAATGAAGTATACATGCTACAACTTAGGTGAGCCCTGAATTTTTTTTCCCAGCACTGGGGATCAAACCCAGGACCTTGTTGCATGCTAGGCAGGTGCTCTACCACTGAGCTATACACCTAGCTCTAAAAATA